GGGTAGTCTAGGTGTGTTGAAGCTAACGTAGTGTAAAAATAAATAAATATACATTATATATATATATATATATATATATATATATTACACAGTTATTGGAAGCAAAGGGTCCTATGAACTCAAGTATTGAACTTTAACCATATTTTTAAATGCCGTCAGTGTTCGGACTCTTCTTATAGATATCGGCAAGGCGTTCAATAATCTGACAGCCTGTACCGTGAAAGATTTTTCATAGAATAGGCTAGGCAATAGGCTAGGTACCATTAGCTCCAAAGATTCCGAATAAGAATTTTAATACGTAGTAATTTTATATCGTTTTGAAATGAATATGTATTCACATTTATGTCTGTTCGGTGACTGTAGAGATCAGTAGAATATTGATACAACTGAATTTAATTAAAAATGTAAATGAATTATTTGAAGTTTGTTTTTTTATGGTATAGGAGGCAAATAAGCAAACGGGTGATAGTAAGTGACTACCGCCACCCATGGGCACTAGATCTGTAATCGCGATAAGATAAGAACTCTTAAAGAAATAGCTGAGAGAATTTATTCCAGACATCTTTGTGTTCTTCATTTACTTTGAAGGATAATTATTCCCTGGAATCAGCGCTAAGTTAAAAGTTCTCGGTATAATAAAATACCTGATAGAAAAAAATGTTTCATTTACTAATTTAAAAATGAAACAAAGAACTTTATGTGTAAATCTTCAGAGTTGCTTTCAGTTTCATCAAAAATAAATAAATACAAAAATTAATGAATTTTTTTCTGTAACTCCCTTTATCTATTCCAATTAGAGATCAACCGGATACTCGGTAACTATCCGGTGTCCAGGCAATTTGACAAAAATAACTATCTAGTTGAATATCTGGAAGCTAAATTTAGTACTGAATTTTAAGTTACATAATAAACGTAACTGCCACAGGTATCTATTTATACTATTGATTTTTTTTTTTTTTTTTTTTAAAAAGACAACTCCCGCATTAGGAATATATCCTGTGTCGCGGGGGACTTTACAAACATACATGAAACGGACACAAAGAACACCCAGACTCAGAACAACAATTTGTGGATCACACAAAGTGACGTTCCATGTGGGGTTTGAACCCACAACACTCAATTTGATTGATTTCAAACTCAAACTCTCTTTATTTTATAAATTTTTTATAATTGTTTGAAATCGTCTTTTATGTAGACTGTAAAGTCATAGATCAACACACACAAAAGCAACAATCTCTGTTTTGTCAAATAGTAACCAAATAAATTTAACAAAAATCAAACCCATACAAAGTCTATGATGCCGATCTACAACCGCCCGTTTCCAAGGAGTTGAGCCTTATGAGAAGAAAATTTTGCTAAGCTTAAGGCAATTTAGTTAAGGTTAGCCAACAAGCTTTGTATTTATGTGTATTTTATATGCAAATGTATTTGTACGCTATCATCATCAACATCCTTTAATAGTCCACTCGCCTACTATGCCACGCTGGCCAGACGGGTTGGCATAGAATTTGTTTCAAGTTTGCCTTCTCTTTGCAGTGCCGATGTCCTGCGTAGTTAATTCCCTTAGACGACTCTTACGACACCCACGGGACGAATAGGGGCAGTGACACACTGTATTCTAAATCCGCATGTATCCATATTTATGTATGTATGTGTGTAGTTGTATATGTTAGTTTATGTTATTTTGATATACCTATTTTGAAATTTAAAATAAGAACTTTATAACTACTGAATACATCTGTAACCTCAGTTCACCAATCTTAATAGACCCCCTTTTCTGCACCATCCATAAGTTGGTAGAGAATACCTAGGACATTAAGTACGCCGATGTACATAAGTACATAAATTTATAAATAAAAAAAATTGTTTACACAATACATTTATGATTTATCAACTGAATAACATTTGCTGTTGTAACAATAAATTAAAGTCTAACATCGCATTCACAATAAACGTTAGAAATTAATTATAGAAAGTTAACAATTGAAAATAGGATTAATAATAAGTAAAACATACAATTATATCAAAACTAATCATTCACTCACCATCTAACACATTTCGATCATGAATAACAAAATAAATTATATTACAAAACAACTGGACTAAATATTTACTTAAGACTAAATTTACTATACAAAATCCCCCACCGCATCTATATATGTCTGTTTGTGATAAATGCCAAAACGGAACGGGTTTTTGAGCGGTTTTAATAGTCAGAGTGATTCATGAAGAAGGTTCAAGTGAGTAATTTATTCAGTTTTGTGTAAATTTGGTTGAAATGTGATAATAATTGAATTGTTAAAATATCGAAAAAAAGATAATCTGGTAATAAATATTAGTCTATGTATATTAGAAGTGATTTCGCGATTTACTCGAATATGTCAGATTAACATAAGGGGGAATACCTTACACCCAGTTGAGTACCTCCACCATACATGAGCCAAAATATCGTCAGAATTTAGGCTCGCATGACCGGCTGATTCGTCTGAATAAAAACTAACACGCTCGGGTATTTCCTAATGGCGATTTATCGAATTTGCTGTTTGAATTTTCAAACATTAGCTACGAACTTGTGTCATTTTAAAATCGTCAGACCTTTCAAAGGGATAATTTTTGGCGTCCAAATAACATACATCCAAATAACATGCCGAAAATGTCTTATGCGCTAATTTTCTTTTTCGATTTTTTCTCTCCTTACATTTTTAAAAACCTGTAGAAGCTTTTCCCCACCGCTGAAAGTTGAAACATTTTAAAAGTTTTAATCATTCTATTACCTAATCCTCCAAATGCAATAGATCCCCATGACGCTTGAGTAAACCTCAGAATTATGGTCTCCCTTACTATAATTTCTCCACCATTTATAACCTCCTTTTAAGTGTACCTACCTCATGCTTTCTCTGCATCGCCAATTGTTTGACTAGTAGAAGAATGTCGTAAGCATTAAGTCCGCCGATGCATAACCTTGTGCATGATGTTTAATAATTTTATAAAAGTAATGAAAGTAAATTAGTTTAATACAAATCAATAACTAAATATTTCTAATTTATTTCGTACCAATGAAAATTCTATTAATTTTCATATTATTTTCCTTAAACCACGCGAACGAAGCTGATGGAACTTAGTCATTATACAAGCCTGCTGCTAGCAAAGCAAAATATGTAGAGTACGTCATCACGAATTTAGCAAGCTAAAGGCATTAGTTCTGAGACTCATAAGTACATGTACGTAATGTCTAGAAGTCAAACTTCTAGACCGAGCGAGTCGTTTGAATGCGTACATCGTCAGTTATGCACGAGAGATTTAATATATGGCCTGAAATACGAGCACACTTATTCAATAATTGTTCCACATTTCACATAGTGGAACAGCTGAAATACACTAATTCATTTATAGCGTATAAACTTTAATTTAAATCATCATACGCTCACTACTTAACGCACGTCTATTTGTGGAACATTGGGCACTATTACATAATTTGTTTTAGCTTAAGTTTTCCATCACAAGATATTTTAAAAGCAACTGCTATCGTACCATATATACACAGTTCAATATTGCAGAAATAATGTACATATACATATTCGTATGTGCATGTACGTTATTTCTACGAATGCGTTAATCTCTAGGACTATATTCGACTAGATTTGAATGTTTTTTTTATTGGATAAAGGAATAATAATTTTCGGTGTGGTGACGGATTAAGAATACAGAGTTTCACCATCCCTATTCATCCCGTGGGTGTCGTAAGAGCCGACTAAGGGAAAAAACTACGCAGAAGAACAGCACTGCAGAGAGAAGGAAAACTTGACACAAATTCTATACCAACCCGTCTGGCCAGCGTGGTATAGTAAGCCAAAACCTAGTTTCTAAGCAGAGGCTTCTGTCCAGTAGTGGACTATTAAAAGCTGTTGATGATGATGATGAAAGGATAATATATAGTGTATGAAATATCTAGCTACAACTATTGGAAACGGAGCAGTCACAATAAATGCGTGTAGGACTGCGGGTTTTGCACATATTTTAATTTTTGTTTAGGTTATTTTTTTAAAAGCTGTGGATATCCTACATACCTGTTATAAGAACTTATCAGTAAAGTTCTAGCCAAGAGATTATTTTTGAGAATTAACCTCATCAATTACTTCCTATACACAGAAGTATAATTAACATACTTAGCTCTGAAATAATGCTTACCAAATGTAACAAAGTATAATGGAATATAATACGGAAGGACACACTTTGGATCCGAGGATAATCTTTCTCTGTAGCGTATATAAATAGATTTTCTTAAAATTTGTTTGATAAACATTTTCTGTTGCGTATATAAATAGATTATCTTAAAAATCAATTTATAGAAAGAAAGACAAGTCAGAACTAAAACGAATAAATTTGAACATAATTTACAGGCATATCAAATACCAGAATGAGTCAGAAATGGCTGTTAACTCAGTATAATACCACTTTAATTAATAATTATCTATATATTTCCTGTTTCGTGTTTCTAACTTTGAAAATTACGAACTTCTAGATCGAGATAAACCGGCTAAAATAAGAGAATTTATTTATTTAGGACAACTTACAAAACATAATACATAGTTTACAAACATGTTTTACAAATATGTGCTGAGTGTTGTCTTACTTACAAGTTGCCACGGCATGGTAAGGGACAGTTACATCTAAGATTGTACAAAGCAAGAGAAGATTGGTTGTATACCAAGCTTCCCATATTTAGCCGTTTTATCTTTCAGGAAACGCTACTACCACAAATAACAAAGTTTCATATAAATTTCCAACCCTCACTTTGCACCCACCACTTTTGATTTTTTATAAAATCTTGTCTTGGTGGACACCTAGTCCTCCTAAGGAACATTTGTGATAAATTTCAAAGGTTTCAGCTGCGCGTTGATCGATTAGTCAGTGATTCAGTCTGTCAGTTTCCATTTTAGATAAAGGAATATACTATACGTATTTATAGTTTATAAGTAATTATTTATAAAGCGAAGATATCAAAGCACCATATGAAATTCATGATCAGTCACGCGTTCTTTCCTTTCCCCGCTCGATGTTGAGCGGAAAGAGCGGCGGCAAGCGAAGCGGCAGGAAGCGACCGTCGCACAATTATCGCGAGCAATTAGTCGCAGTCGCGGGTCCCGGCCTCCGCAACGACGGTGCTTAGTACACGTACTCCTAATTGCGATGGGACGTGCTAGGAATTTCTGAGGTGGTTTGTGTGTGTTCGATGACAGAGCAGTCACCTGCTTACATATATTTCACCTATTTTTTTTTGATGTTGAATCTTAAGTCGATTACCACCTTTTGGTCGTTTTCTTGACTTTTATACTATTGGTTCTGAATACATTTGTGACCATGCCATTAAATATAAACTATCAATACAATAATGATATATCATGGCATTATTTGTCGTATTGAGAGTAAAATATTAGTTCAAAATCTTAGATCTTATCACTTGCGGAAACGGTAAAACACGCCCTCATAGGAGAACTTTCAAAAGTTTTCCAGAACGGTTTTGATCTTGTGAACGGTTTCAGTGGCTAATCCTTTTTTACTTTTCGCACTGTAAACAGCAATAGCCAAAAAAGTAATTACGTAATGATCCTAACACAAAAGGATTAGATATTATGTATTGTTAAAAAGTAAGAAAGTCTTAGTAAAAGAATCTCCATCAGAATGTATAATTTCCACTATTACTTACCGTTCTATTTCCCAAGTTGCGCACTCGACAGCTGAGGTAGGCAGACTTGCCAACGAGCGCGGTGACGTTCCTCGGGGTGGCCGCGTCGAAGGAAGGTGCGAGCCGTGCGCCCGCGCCACTTGGTAACGCATTCACCGACCCCGCCCCACCAGCCACGTCGCATACACCTGGAATAATACAAATTGTGATATATAGATGACTGTTTTATTTACATTTAAGCCGAGTTGTAACACGTGGCCACATAAGGGCTTAAATGTAAAATTTGAGCTCTGGATTCTACAAAAATATCCTCGGACCTCAAGATCGGACAAAAATATAAGTATCTACTTCCTGTGGCGAATAGCTTTTAGGTATTTATTTGTATGTTATTATCATTATCATTAATATTGCTGTCTCAAACATCGCATGTGTGCTTTTAACTGACGCGTACTGACTACGCAATAAATGTTTTGTGTTTACGCGATATTTTTTTATGTGTAAACCGACTTCAATTATTCTTTTTTTTTATTTATCATAAACACCGACTAATGTGCTAAGTAATTATCATTTTTTTTACTGTTTCAAAGAAATTTTCAAAGATATTATCTAACCTTATAACTTTGATAGAAAAGAGTTTAAATAGAAGGTCTGTCGCGGGTTAACCGCTCTGAATTTAAAGAAGCGTACTATACTCGTAAAATATTATAACTAAGTAAGGTAGATAAACAAAAACACTTTATTTATGATTTTAATTTTTCTATTTCTACTAAGGGTAGCATAGGGTTCGAATAATATGTTGAGTTCACTTTCATAGATCCTATCGATACCCATTCCCTTTGTGGTTGAAGCACTTGGTTGTGGTATGCAAATTCTTAGTCACGCATAGGAATTGCGAGAATGCGGTACTGTAACAGAATCGAATAATTGAATCTAAAGTCGACATTAAATTCCTCACTTAAAGTAACTCATAGATTTATGGAATGGAAGAGCGTTCGTTCACAAATCTTAACTGTGAATTTACGTAATAAAAGTCATCCAAGGCTTAAAATAACTACGCATTTCTATTCGTCGTAATAATCAAGAGTGCCATCACTACTTCCATTCATGGTTCCCGCCCAATCACGGCTACACATTACGCACATCTCGTCAACACACATCTTTACCCCCGACCTTCAAATCGTACAAAAACATGTTACGTCATCACACCAGCACATTTATTTGTTGAAGTCGAATAAATAATTCTTCCGTGCTTTTATCGAGATGGAGATTAGGTACTCTCGTTGGAAAACAAAGGGCATCTCTGAGACCCATTGTCGCTTACTTTAATTAAATTACTTAAAACGAATATTGTCTTTGCTTTGAAACGTTTTAAATCAAGTTTTTTTTATAAAAAGGGATTGTTGGATTGATAATTGATTGAAAACACTTTTATAAAGACTGATTAGAATTTTTGTTTTACTATTTTTTTCTTTATTTCCTTTACTTTATGTTAAAACAAGTTTTTGCCACTGCTTCACTCGCGGCTATATAAATTCTGTAAAAAAAAAATTGCGTGATATAAAGTGCCTATGCCTAGCCTATGTGCTATTCCAGACTATTTCTCAGATCCGTAGACAATACACTACAATAAATTAACATACATTCATCCTTCATTCGGACCATACTTCAGCACATATTGGTCAGCTCGATGGCAGTTATCACGACCTCACAAAAAACCAGTGTTCAGAATTTTTTACTCTTTTAGAGAACCCCAAATTAGGTAGGGAATGCAGTCAAAAGGGTCTCTTACAATGAGGTAACCTGTTTGCTCATTTGCCCTCGCACGTAACAAATAATCAAAACGTTCTCATCTAAATCTAATAGCGGTAAGACTCCTATACTTAACCCAATGCTATAGGAAACACGTAAACAACAAGTAGAAAATGACAAACGAATACCTAAAGTACCAAATTCCAAATGGCATGTAAAGACATTTCTGCAATTGGAGCTCGAATATCGATGCTAGCGGAACCAGGCGCGGAAATCATTCCGCTCAGTTCCACACCAGTTTAATGGTTGATTGATGTTCTAGTTCCAACTCCAGTTATTGCGTTATGGAACTCCGAGTTAGATCCGGTAAGTTCCGCGCGGAACCTAGAGGTTTGTGATTCCTCTGATATTACGCTGTGATTATATTAGGGCTTTGATTAATGTTTCTGCGTTGTAATTCAACTCAAATATACTCTGTTGTGTTTCATTTTATGGTTTGGAATGAATGATTTGGAACAGCAAAATAATGTAAACTTGTATAAATAGATAGATTAAAACAGGCATTTAAAAATATTTAGTTTGTTACCTTATCGACTTGATGATTTTTGTTTCGTAATTTTTTTGAGTATTTCATACTTTACATAATTGGAAAATATTATCGGTTTTTTTTCAAATTCCGTGTCTCGTAAAGTACCCGAATTCGATTTCCAGTATTCAAAGTAAAAAATTTACTAATTAACATAACTCACGGACTTTTCACTTTTAGTAAGCTTTTTAGAGAGACTTAAAAAGTGAAATCTATGATAAGAATTATGGTTAGAAACAATTTTCACTGATTAAAATAACTGAATAGAATGTAGATAAAAATCTGTAACGTTACCTAATAATATTGTAATCAGCTTCATTGGGCAAAAGTAGTTTTGACCAGTTAAAAGTTCTCATAACATGAATTAACCTATAGTATATTTAATTATAAAACAACAGGTTCATGGCTTCATGAATGTCAGAAGCTTGGGTCACACCACTTAGATAAATATCAAATTAATAGCATTTTTTTAACGGCCACTAGAAAAACCAATCAATCTCGAGACTCGACCAAAAAATGATAGAACATGGACATAATCAATGAGCCATCAATGGCGACATGATGGATGAACCCTTAATTAACCAACACAGAATAGATAACAAAATCCACAGGTCTGTTAAAGAATAACGGACCTTACGATCCAGTTATAAAGCTTAAAACTACTGCTTGTTATCTATAGTTTTGCTCACTATCAAGAAGAAACAATTCAATTTAGTAAAACAGGAATTTCTACTTTATTTGGACGGTTACAAGAATGAAAGTTGCAGGAAAGTGGATGAACTAATTTGTGAACAGATTGCGGCTTCAGACGAGCCAATGAGAATGATGAAGTGACCTCTAATCAAACAACTTCACGGTCAATATTTGCTTAAGCAATCTAAATTAAATTTACAGCTGTTACTGGACCATAATTGGCTGCGAATCTGACCGTGGATCTTGTTCAATCACACACACGTACACATATAGGCAAACACTGACACATGGACAGGAGCAGTGGAACATGGTAGTGCATTTAACTGCACCGTCAGAGTTCGCGGGCGAGAATATTTGTTTTTTTTTTATGGAAGAATGGGCAGACGAGCATATGGGTCACCTGATGGAAAGTAACTACTGCCGCCCATGTACTTCTGCAACTCAGGAGTTATAGTTGCCGGCCTTTTAGGAAGGAGTACGCTCTTTTCTTGAAGGTTTACCGTATTATTTTACATGTATACTTAGTCTGGTCATAAATACTGTGACTATTAAAGAAAAACATAACAATTATATTTGAATTTGGAATCTGTCATTCTTATATGAATATTTATTGTGTTTTCTCATTTTTGTATTCTACTTATTAATAAAATAAAAACAAATATTGTTTTACCATGAAACTTGTATTTATTTTATATCAATAATTTCTCACTAGAAGTATGAAGAGTCACCCACGCGGTGTTCTTAGAATTATTCCGGATATACAATTCTTTGGTATTAATAAATATTACTAATGTTAGTTATTACTCAAATTCCTGGAACGCCCGACCCCTCTAGTCGATATTATCCTTTAAAGTGAACTTTGAACAAGAGTGTGCCGGTCTGGAAATTGTCAAACCGAGTTGAATCGGTTTGACAATTCGTGCGAATCGGTTCTAATCCGAATCGTTGAAATTGCAGTAAACCGCGGTTTGAACCTGTTTTAGCAGTATGATCAGGTGACCAGCGAATGTAACATACGAAAGCAATGTGCAACATGATTCGACGGGATCGATTAAACCGTAGTTTTACGGTTTGCAACAGATTTTATATACAAGTGTAGACTAGACTAACTGATAATCGAAGCGGCGACGGTATGAATTGATTGGTAGTTTGTTGAGAGCTAAGGACAATACAACAAATTTCTCAGTCAAGTAACACAATTACCGTTCTTTCTGTTTTTCTCATTTGGTATATCTAAGAAAATTATGTCTGTTAGATTGGAACGGTTAGTAAATCTGTTTATGTATTAAATTATTGTTAAAAGACGCGACCTACCGTATCCGATTTTGTAGGAACACAATAATATAGTTTGTGCTTGTAAGTAAATTGATAAAGATTTAGAGTCGTGTCACGTTGACTCGGTTCAAAATCAGTTGGTAGATAAATCAGTTTTGTTCGGTCGGTAAAGCAGGAGCCGCGAGCGTGATGGTACAATATAAAGTGTAGCGCAATCTTATGACACGGCTCAACCGGTTTAAACCACGAGCAAACCGATTCAACTCGGTTAAACCGGTTTGAGCATGGAAATTCGAGTCGTCACATCACTACTCTAAAACTGTTTGCATCAACGTGTAAGGAGGAGCTGAAACTAAGCTTATTTATAGAGCGAGTAGTGGTGTCGCAATACTCGTAGCTTATAAGATAGTCACTAGTAAAAATGGTTAATCTAGTTTAGTTAAAAAACGTTAAAACTAGTTTAGTTAGTAGTTTAGTTTAGTTTTTGTTGGTCCATTATATTATAGTTAATACTTTGGACTTTTCATTAATGTGAGCTAAACACCTCACGATCGAATAGTTTGCAATTACTCATGGACAAAATATGTCTTATAATAACCATTTAAAAAGGATCAACGGCTTCAATGCGCCTCTATCATGAAGTAGTATACTGTATTCTTCATTCATTGATTTTCTAGCCGTGTAGGAGGTATTTTTTCTGTAAATTTAAATGGGACCAAATGGGGAGGATGCCCTTACAAAAGGATAAAGATTTTGAAGATCGGTTCAAAAATGACGGAGTTCTGACAAACAAAATATTACCAAATTTTAAACTTTCCTTTTTTAATTCAGTTAAAAAAAAGAGCCAGTTTTAAAGTAGTCGCATATTACGTGTAACACCCGACA